GGGCACCCATCACCCTTGGCAATGCCAGGCTCACTGGCTGACAGCTCTCAGGCCCCTTGGAAGCCATCTGGTGCCCCTTGATTACAATCAGGAATGGCCAGAACCAGGCTTGGAGCTTGGCCCTGCCACCAGCTACGTGCCCTTGGCGAGTCCCTCATCCTCTCTGATTGCCCCTGTGAATAGTGAGGGAAACGATCGTCTTTCTTCTGGAGGTGGCTGGGCAGGTTTCAAAGTAGATAAGGCTGCAGGGGACCTGATACAGTGTGTGTGTGCTCAGTCATCTCCGACTCTTTGCAACCCCATGGACTGTAGCCCACCAGGCTCCTCTGTCCATGGAATTCTCCAGGCAAAAATACTGGAGTGGGTAGCCATGCCCTCCTCCAGGGGCTTTTCCTGACCCAGGGATCGAACCCAGGTCTCCTGCATTGCAGGTGGATTCTATACTGTCTGAGCCCATGGTGCACTGAATGCCCCCAATCAACAGGGCTGTTACTGTGGTCAGTAAGTTAGAGTCTGTGCTACCCAGGTACCCCTTTCTCAGGAGGCCACTTGTCCAAGGTACTGCAGTGTCCAGGTGGGGGGACCAGAATTCCAGTGGCGTTAGAAATTCAAGGTGGCAGTGTCAGTTCTACCAGAATTGATTGCTCTCTAAAACCAACCAGCCCCAAATGGGTTGGGAGAAGCCAAGGCCTCAGAGAAGGAGGTGGGCACAGGATCCAGTACAGAAAACCACTCCAGCCCTGCTCCCCAGTCCCACAAGTTCCCGCCGTCCACCCCCTCCTATCTTCTCCTGCCTCAGTCACCCCTGCTCCCAGGCTCCTCACTTCCTGAGGAAGCCAATCCCACCCCCATCAACTTCTCAAAACTCTCTGAGCTCTTTCCCGCGCCACAGGGCCTTCGCATCCCCAGCACATTCCAGTCCCTTTGAGTCCCTCATCCTCATTCTTACCTGCCTCCTCCTTCCTGCTCACTAGCTCCTGCTGTCTTTCCAGGTCAGAGGCTTCTGCTTTGACCCCCATTCTTCCCCCTATTAATCAGGGTTTTCTGCCCTCCTCCTCTGCTCTTTCCATCTCCCTGAGCGCCTCAGTCTTTGTCGGCCCCTCTTTATCTCTCAGGGGTCTCTCCGAAGGCCCCACTTCGTGTCCTTATCTCAGGCTCAGACATCCTCTCCTGGCTTCTCCATCTCTCCCTGCACTTTTCCCTGTCCTTTTAAAATTCCATCTCTCCCTGTGTCTACCTGTGTCTCTGTCTCTTCCTGCCTCGCTCGAGTTTTTCTCTCTCCACCGCTCAGATCCCTAACTCTCTGGCATACTCTGCACCCTTCTCTCTGTCTCCCCCCTCACTTTCCAGCTCCCCAGTCTCCCAGCGGAGCACTCAGGAGAACTTCTGTGTCTCTCGCCGCTCCTTCCCTTCNCCGGTTACCGCCGGGGGCCCAGCCCCGGGGCCCGGCGTCCGGGCATCCCCGCCGCGCGGGCGGCGGCCGCTGCTCGGGCTGCTGCGTTGGCGCGCGCAGCCGGCCACATCCGCCAGGTGCGCGGACCCCGGCCCGGCTCCGGCTCGGGCGCGCTAGGGCGCGGGCCGCGGTCTCCTGCGCACTGCAGCGACGGCGGCGGCGGCGGCCACGGCAGGGAGGAGGGAGAGGGAGGGGGCGGGATGAATCACCGCGGGGGGAGGGCGCGGCTGCCCAGCCTTTGCCGCAGCGGCCCGGGAGGCGCCCGCCGCACCGGCCTTTCCCGGTGGTGGCGCAGGGACCGCGGCTTCGGGCGTGGGGCGCGTGGTCTGGGCGTCGGACCCCTCCAGACTCCGGGGACGCCCAGGTGCGCAGTCGGGGAAAGGTGACCCCCCCTCCCCCGCCCCTTCAGAGTCACAGGAGGGCTTGGAGGGCGGTTTGAGCGCAGGGCTCCGGACTTTAAATTATGGAGGTCACCCCCCTGGAATCTCCAGGGGAACCTGCCAGGAGCCTCCTGGTGACCTCCCCCTCGGACCCCGGGCACTCGGGCCTGGAGGTCACTGTGTTGGAACCCAAGTGGGCTTGGGGGGTGTCAGGCTAGGGCCTGACATAATACTCCAGACCCCTCCCAAGCAGGAGGGACACTCTGGATCCAAACCATAGAGGCTGCTCTGCTCTGGGTACTAGAGGCGCCACGTTTCTAGAAGAGGACCCTTCGTGACCCCGCTACCCTCTCTGTCTCTGACGTCATCTTCCACTCCTCCCCCTGCCCCCCTCCCCCCGCACTCGCTGCCGTCCAGGCCGTGCTGTTTCCAACACACCAAGCTCATTCCCACCTCGCAGCCTTGGTCCTTCCTCACCTCTGCTTGGACCACTCTTCCCCTAGGTGACCCCAGGGCGGACTTCCTCTTCTCCTGCAGCCCTTGGCTCTGACATCACCTTCATCAGGCCCTCTGTCCACTCAGGACAAACTGCCTCCACCGTCCCTTACTTGACCTCCTTTACCAGTTTTTTTTTTCTCACGGCAGTTGTCACTACCTGACATTATACTCTTCTTTATATGGGTCCTCCATTCACCTCTTGTCCTTCCAACCCTGGAAAACAAGCTCCCCCAAGGTGAGAACACTGTCCTGTGCACCACTGCGTCGTCTCCAGCACCTTCATCTGTGCCTGGCACCTTGTAGTGTTGTGTTAGTCGCTCAGTCGTGTCCGACTCTTTGTGACTCCATGGACTGTAGCCCGCCAGGCCCCTCTGTCCATGGGATTTCCCAGGCAAGAATACTGGAGTGGTTTGCCATTCCCTTCTCCAGGGGATCTTCCCAACCCAGGGCTCGAACCCGGGTCTCTTGCACTGCAGGAAGATTCTTTACCATCTGAGCCACCAGGGAAGCCCTTTGTCACCTTGCAGGTGCTCAATAAATATTTGTCAAGTGAATAAATAACTACCAGTGCTAGAGCCCTGCTATATGCTGGGTCCACTTCTACCTCCACAAGCATGTATGTGGCAAGTTCTGTTATTAATCTGCATTTTACGAACTGGGAAACTGAGGCTGGGAGAGGGCCATTCTCTTGCCTAGGGTCACGCAGCCGGCCTCAGATGGGTCTGGAATCCTGCCCGAATGGTAGGTAACTTGTCTGCTAAATGAAAAGGATGAGGGTAGGGGCTCTTTTGGGACCACAGTGGGGGCTTTTGGCTGACGGTTGCTCTTCAGGTCCTGACCTCCAGTTCTAGATAGGGTGAAGTTTCAGAAGCTCCCCAGCCCAACTTTGCCAGGCAAGAGGAATCAAGGGTGGGGCTGGCCCGGGGCAGAAGGAGAGGAAGCCAGGGACACCACGCGAGGGACACCAGACACCTTTGTGGTCTGGGCCCTTGTGCCAGCACTTCCTGGGCTGTGAAATTCCCCTGCAAAAAATAACTCTCTTGCTGTTCCGGTCCCTCCTGTCAGGGGTGGCAGGCAGAGGCACAGTGAGGACAGGTCTTAGGCACCACACAGGGGCACCTGCAAACTGATGTTCGCTGAGCACCTACTATGGGCTTGGTGCCATTCTAAGCACCTTACTATTAACTCATTTAGTTCTTCCTACAAGATGGGTGTTACCATTATGCCCATTTTACAGGTGTGGGAAACTGAGGCACAGGATGGTTAATTTGCCTCAATCGCTAGCTAGAGGATAGGAGAGACTGGCTCCATCGTTTACCACTTGTGGTCCATCCTGCCCCATCCAGCCCCTCCTTCAGTTCTCTGCCCCAAACCATCAATTAAGATTCTTACAGCCTGTGACCTGTCAGAGGTCTCTTTTTACCCTTCCTCATTCACTCTGTAACCAGAACAGGATTTGAGTGAGACAGTTCTGGGTTCTACCTGGACCAGAGGTTTTGCCTCTAGGTTCATTTCTGAATTGGTAAGATAAGGCCCAGCGGCCTCAACTTTTGGTGTGACCCCCTGAAGGGGGCCTTTTATCTGAAGGTGGAGACACCAGGGGCTAGGCCTTGCCTCTCTGCTGACTGGTGCCAGGCATGTAACTATTTGTCTCCATCTCATGGTGTAACTGAGAATTAAATGAACGTTTGGGTTTGCTGGTGACTCAGACGGCAATGCACGAGATGGGGGTTTGATCCCTGGGTCAGGAAGATCCCCTGGAAAAGGAAATGGCAACCTACTCCAGTATTCTTGCCTGGGAAATCCAATGGAAGAGGAGCCTGGTGGGCTACACCCTGGGGTTGCAGAGTCAGACACAACTGAGCAACTAATACTTCAGACCTTGGCACAGAGCCTGGTACATACTTGGTCCTCACTATATGACTTCCTTTTTTTCTCCCCTGATTTTTCTCTTCCATAATAGTAACCTTTATTGAATATTTACTCTGTGCAGACCCTGTTTCAAGTAGCCACCTGTATTAATTCCTTGAATCCTTATAGAGTGGTTCTGAAAGTGAGGTCCCTGGACAATCATCATGAGCCTCACCTGGGAACTTGTTGGCAGTGCAAGACCTCGGCAGACTCATGGCAGGTGGGCTGAGTCTCAAACTGAGGGTGGGGTCTGGCATTCTGGTTTTTAGGAGTCCTCCAGGAGATTCTGATGCAACTAAAGTTCAAGAAAACTCACTTCTAACAATCCTCAAAGACCGGTGCTATTCTTTGTTTTTCTTGGCCACTCTGTGAGGCATGCAGAATCTTTGTTCCCTGACCTGGGCTCAAACCTGCACCCTCTACAGTGGAAGCACGGAGTCTTAGCCACTGGACCACCAGGCAAGTCTCTGACTGGTGCTATTCTTATGCTCACTGCAGAGGAAACTGAAGCTCAGAGAGGTTGAACTGCTTCAGGTGACATGCCCGCTAAGTATCAGAGGTAGGATAGAGCCAGGCCACCAGTCTGTCCTTGGAGCCCCCACACTGGATCCTGATGGTGCAGAGCTGCTTGGGAATTCCAGGTCACGTCGGTGTCTGTGGCCCCAGAAAATGGATTGTACGCCCCTCCTACCACAGCGGGACCTAAAGTGTAACAGGAGGCTCTCACCACTCCCAGGGCCCCTACAAGGACAATCACAGTCATTTCCAACCTTTTATTGGGACTCTGTCAGCCCCAAATAAATATAATACATTAAACCCAGAGCTGAGGGAATCGTGCACCCCAGGAGGGACCCCCACAACCCCAGACGGGCACAATAAGTTAGTGGGGGGCCTGCCAAAGGCTGGGCCAGCTCCCTGGCAGGGCAGGTGACGGCAGCTGGACTCGCACACGCTGGTCTAAAGTGCATCTCGGTTCTGTGGTCCCCGTGTCTGTGTGGCCCCGGGCCAGGCCACCGAGAGGAGTGGGCGGGAGGCTCCCGGTGCTCACACTGTGCCAGCAGTGGCTACCGAGCCTCTGTGTCTATCTGTCCATTTAGGAGGATGGCCGTGTGTCCTCAGGAGAAGCTGTCGTCAGGCTGTGGCTGGGAGTCGAAGGGAGGGTCTGAGACGGTGATGCCTTGATGTAGCTTCTCCAGTGAGAACTTCATCTGCAGGGAGAGGTGGGCAGGGTTGGGGGGTTGAGTGCTGGTGGAGGTGACACATCCCCACCATCCTGCAGCTGAGGACCTGGGCAAGGTCCAGAGAGGCCAAGGTCAGCCTGTCCTGAGAGAGGAGCCTTTCCGCACCCAGTCTAACTTCTCACAGGCAGAGGACGAGATGGTTGGATGGTATCACTGACTCAATGGACATGAATTTGAGCAAACTCCGGGAGATAATGAAGGACAGGGAAGCCTGGTGTGCCGCAGTCCATGGGGTCACAAAGAGTCGGACAAGACTGAGTGATGGAACAACAAACAACAACAAAGGCAGCAAGTGGAAGCGGCCCAGACGGCCTGGGTTCAAGTCATTTTATGGGGTAACCTTGGGCAAGCCCCTTAACTGTCCTGGGTCCCTCAACTGAGACACTAGTCAGTAATATTCCTGCATCGTAGGATTACTTCAGGGATATCCCGGGTGTACGCCGAGACCTGGCACACAGGGTGTTGGGCACAGTTAGCTAGTCTTACTCCCTGCCATGTGACCTTGGAAATGTCTCTGCCTCAATGTTCCTGTCTGTTACATGACAGGGGGTGGGAGGGGTGGAGTGGTAACAAAAGCATCCCCCTAGAAGGCTGGCCATGAGAAACAAATCAGTTGGTCATTTTAGCTCTTAGAACCGTCTGGCTCAATCAGTGTCTGCTGTTAAGAGTTAATTTGTGTAGTCGATTCCGTGCCCTTGGCAGAGAAACATAATCAGAACTGAACTCAGGATGGGAAAGCCCTGACCTGCTGTCTCTGAGCAGTGGCACCCCAGCCTCGATGATCCCTCGTCCCTGTCCTGCACAGCCCTTCCCCTTCCTCCTAGCATGATTTCAGGGTGCAATGAGGCCCCTAAAGGTAGACCTCGGCATTACGGTTCAGAGTGACCAGAAAGGACTTTTAGCATCACCCAGCAACGTAGGCTATGATGCCCTTGGGCACCCAGTCAAGGCCAGATGCTCCCCAGCGCCTGGCACCTGTGCTGACCCACCACCGCATTTACTGAGCACCTGCTTTGCAGGATCCCACTAATAACAGCAAACACAGGTGAGGTGTTTACGTGAGCTGGGCACTATTCACAGGCTAACTCCTTTCTAGTTAATACTATTTTCTGGCCATGCTCCACAGCATATGGGGCCTTAGTTCCCTGACCAGGGATCGAACCCACAGCCCCTGCAGTGGAGGCTTGGAGTCCTAACCAATGGACCACCAGGGAAGTCCCAGATGCTAACTCCTTCAATCCTCCCGGCAGCCTTTGGAGTAACACTGATTATCATTCCATTCACAGAGGAGGAAGCCAAGGCCCCAGCAATGAAGTCACTGGCACAAGGTCAGAATTTGAACCTGGCTGTCTGTATAGACACTGCCAGCAAACTACAGTGGGTGTCTGGGGCAACCCCTCCTGGAGGTGAGATCCCTAACTTTTGGAGGAACTCTTTCCCACCCTCACATGATCCCTTAGTCACCTCACAGGCAGGAAGGGGTTCAGGGACCAGCCTTATCTACCCCTGGCTTATGTGACTGGTTGGGGGATGGGCACGTGACCCAGTAGCCAGTGAGAATGAGCTCCTTCCTTTGGCTGCTACCTCGGAGCTTCAGGTACCATCTCAGTCAACCTGGGATGCCCCTGAAACAAAGCCAGCCCTGGGAGTGGGCAGAGTCAACAGAAGGTAAGAGACCGATTCTTATTACTGTTGGGTGGCTGGATCCAGCCATGCCTGAAGTCAAGACATCCTGGACTTCTTCCCCAGGATGAGAAGCTATAAATGCTATCTTCCATCTCGCTGATTTCTCTAGCAACCCTGGGAGGTGAGGACTATGAATGGCTTCCTCATTTAACACAGGAGGAAAGTGAGGCCCGGATGCATTATGCTACATCTCGGGACGTGACTGCAGGGCCCCACAGCCCAGGCCGCACCTCGTCCAGGAGCTCCACGGAAGCCCGCAGGATCTGCCTCCACTTGTGCACCTCGACGCTGTGGAACTGCTTCTGCAGGGCCAGGATCTCCGCCCACTCCGTGGCCGTCTGGGGGAACTTACTGTGGGGAAGACAGGGCCCGGGTGGGGTCTTGGCCTCCCCCACACCTGCCCAAGCTCCCAACCCCCTGGGGCTACCCACTCACCCCTTGGCCAGGGCCAGACTGTGCCAGGACTCAAAAGTGTGAGCTGTCCTCTCCAGGGACCAGAGGCGGTAAAAGAGAAGGACGTTGAGGGCAATGAGGACGATGAGGCTGGGGAGACAAGGTCAGAGGTCAGGGGTCAGGATACCAATGCTCCTACAAGTGGGCGGGCACCCACTTGACCATGCCTTGAAGGGGCACCATGACTAGCCCTCTTTCCAGAGGAGGAAGCCAAGACTCAGACAGGGTGAGTGACATGCCTGGGGTCACACAAGCCAAAGCCAGGGTTCAAACCCAGGCTGGCCTGATGCCTGAGCCCTTAACTGCCGTTCCAGTCACCTCACTGTGGGGAGCCGGGGGCACAGAGTAAGGAGAAGGGGTTGCAGCTGGGGGGAAAGACACAGGGGAAGGGAGGGTGGGACGCAGGACCCTACCTCACACAGATCCTGAGAAGGCAGAGAGAGTGGGAGACAAAGAGATGAGAGCTGCCCAGCCTGTCCTGGCCACCCCTTGACCCCCAACCCCAGCAGCCCCAGGCTGAGCACGTCACACGCCCCTCATGGACCGTTGTTACTGGCCAACCGAGGCCCAGAGGCTGAGCACGAGGCTGATCTCTCACTGCCCATGGTCTGGCAGGAGCATGGATCTCATTTCTATCTTCTCAGAGCACCCTGCCCCCAGCCCAGGCCTCTGTACATGTGGGATACCCCCCACGCAGGCCAGGATACCCCCAGGCAAGGCCTGTGTGCAGGTGGGTCCCCCCAGGCCAGGATCCCAGCCCATGCCTCCATGCAGGTGGGTCCCCCAGCCCAGGCCTCTGTACAGGTGGGTCCTCTAGCCTAAACCCACTCTGGGGGGTTGGGGGGGGTGGTCTCATCTCAGAGTCCTCTGCTTTCCCGGGATGCCTTCCCCAATGACCCACTGTCCGGCCTGGAGGAAGCCTTGCCCAGCCTCCCATGGCTTCCCTGTCGCTACTTCTCAGAGCACCCTGCCCCCAGCCCAGGCCTCTGTACATGTGGGATACCCCCCACGCAGGCCAGGATACCCCCAGGCAAGGCCTGTGTGCAGGTGGGTCCCCCCAGGCCAGGATCCCAGCCCATGCCTCCATGCAGGTGGGTCCCCCAGCCCAGGCCTCTGTACAGGTGGGTTCTCTAGCCTAAACCCACTCTGGGGGGTTGAGGGGGGTGGTCTCAGCTCAGAGTCCTCTGCTTTCCCGGGATGCCTTCCCCAGTGACCCACTGTCCGGCCTGGAGGAAGCCTTGCCCAGCCTCCCATGGCTTCCCTGTCGCTCTTGCCCATTCCCTCCATCACAACCCCATCCCTCTGGTCTGGTGCCAGACCTGTCTCGCCCCTGGACTGCTGGTCACTACTGTATCCCTCGTATCATACAGCTCAGGGCTGAGCACAGAAAACCTGAAACCTCCATGGGTAAACCTCTCCTGGCCCACCTAATTCCATCTCCCCTGGGCGCCTGCTCCTCCAGCTCCCTGGGCGAGGCCACGCTCCCTCTGAGCACTGCCCCCAGAGCCCCAGGGTTTCCCTCTCCCTGTGGTTCGACCTCTCCACGACAAACTGAGTGATATAAGCTGAGGAGCCCTCCTGAGCACATCCCAAACATCGCCTCCTTTAACCCTTGCTGTGGGGTAAGCCCACGCTCCCACATAAGCAGAAGCCCAGAGAGGCCAAGCACTGGCCCAGGGTTGCACAGCCAGGGTGCAGATCCAGGCCTGTCTGACCACCCCCAAGTCCAGCCCCCTTACTCACACAATGCTGATGAGAACCAGGGCGCTGGGGGTGCCCGCCCCGGGGCCCTGGTCCACAGACGGTTCTGAGAAGCGGGAGGTGAGGGAGCCTGTGGGGGAGCAACTCCGAGTCAGATGGACTCATCTCTACAGGCCCCCAGCTCCTCCCCGGCCCCCCGCCAGGCCTGACGGAACCCACCCGAGGTGTGCATGCCAGTCCGGGCACAGGGGTCAGGGTCCGGGTGCGGGGTCCCATCACCGTGAGCCCTCCAGCTCAGAGGCCGCTTCCGCCGGCGCAGGCCGGACAGCAAGCCCCGTGCGTCCTTCCCGCCTTCCTCCAGAGACAGCTTCTCGGCCTTGGCGAGCTCTCGCTCTGCGGACACAGAAGGGGGATCTGCATGGCCGCCCCGGCCTGGCCCTGACCCCGGCTGCGGCCCGCCCGGGCCCCTGCACCCTACCCAGGTGGTGGAAGTAATCCTCGATGCCGCTCCACGAGTTCTTCTCAATGAGGGACTTCACGAGGCTCCAGGGCTGCTTCCGGTAGCGGATCTCAGAGGACACTCTGGGGAGCAGGGCCGGGGGAGGGGGTCAGGGGCTGCCTGCAGCCTTGCTGTCCCATTCTCCAGAGGGTACATGCCCTCATCTAATTCAGAGAGGGCCCCGTGTCACCCACACACAAAACAGACACCCCCCCTCAAGGGTTCCCTGTGATCCCCACACAACACCCCACTCAGCCCCCAGCCCCTCCTCTGTCCACACCCGCGACCATGGCAGGTCCCCCACTGTCATTGCTGCCCCAGCACTGCCCGCCCAGACTGCCATCCTAGCCCGCACCTCACCCTTGAACCCCTTCCACCCTGCGGCTATGTCCACCCCGACTCGGGGGTCTGAGAGACACAGCATGTCCCAAGCTGAGCTCCCAGTCTTCCCCCCAAACCCTCCCCGCCTTCCCCTCCTGGTCAGTGGCGACTCCGCCCTTCTAGTGGCTCAGGTCAACCACCTCGGGGTGTTCCTGACTTCTGCTCATCTGCTGGGGTGGCAACCAGCATTCTGCGGCTGACTTGAGACGGGGAGAATGGAGCAGGGGGGCCCTGGGACACCTGGGTGTCAGGTGGCGGGGCCAAGGCGCGGCTCACCGGAGGCGGGCCTTGTTCCGGGCGAGGCCCAGGATGCAGTAGCGGTGGGCAGTGTAGAAGTAGTCTTGGTAAGGGATGCCCTGCGTCAGCACCTCGGAGTCCACCACACACCCTCCCGCCTGGGGGCCGCGCCGGAACAGCGTCTGCGGGGCCAAGGGGGGAGCCAGGAGTCAGCGCCATCCGCCCTACCCAGACCCTTGGCCCCCCACCCGCCGGCCCCCCTGCCCAGCTCACCTGTGTCTCCACCACAGAGGCGCTCTTGGGCCCCAGCGGGTTGCTGATGGGAATGGTGTAGGTCAGCACTCGGCGCTGGTGGCACTTGCTGTCCCCGCTCCAGGGGCTCAAGGTCACATCTGGGGGGTGCAGGGGCAGAGTGAAGACCCCAGTCTCCAGTCCTCTGCCCTCAGGCAGTAGGAGACCCAGTCCTCTGGGGAAGGTTCCAGTTCTCTGGAGACTGGCTCCTAAACCCACACCTCCTCCCTGCCCCCACCCCGGTGTCTGACCCCGTCTTCCTTCTAGATGCCTAAAACTTTAGATGCTGATGATCCTTGGAGCCAGGACCTCTCTCCTGCCCATACTTCTCAGCCCTCCTGGGCCACTGCATCCACTCTGCAGCCCTAGTCTCCATGCTACCAGCACTGGCTTCTCCCCTGAGCCTGAGACCTAGGGTCCTGCGACCTCTTGAACACCTCCCCCAGATGTCCTCAGGACCCTGCATACCCACTGGCCTCCCCAACCCCTGGAACATGCCCCTCTTCGCTGGGCCCCACTGTCCTTCAGGCTCCCCGCAGAGCTTTGGGCCTCATCCTAGTCACTATCTATTCAGTGACTGCCTCAGCACTGTCCTGGTTCATCCCATCCTTGCCATTCCAGGGAACCTCTCCAGCCTTCCCCTGAGGTTCTGGCCTCCATCTCCAGCTCTGGTCCAGGGGGAGCTTCTAACAGCCAAGGCTGACCCTGTCCCTCCCTACAACACTCTATGGCTCCCCAGTACTGCAGGACAGAGTCTGAGCTTCCCCGTCTGATGTGCCACTCTCTCCAGAAAATAAGCATAGTTTGGGGGGATTCGAGTGCTCCCAACGTAAGGCAGTCTTACCCACTTTGCAGAGGATGCTGCATGGTTTGTTTTCATCAATCAAGAAAACAGACACAGGCCCCTCCCCAAATCGAACCACTTTCATAGCCTCCCGAGCTCCCTGCTGGTCTCCTGGTCAGCCCTTCCACCTCCCCTGGTGCTGTGGCTTCCCCCCTCCACACCTGGCCTTGGGGGCCCAACCCCAAGGGCCTTCTCCCAGTGCCTGCCTTTAGCTTCAGGACCTTTGCGGGTATCCTGCTGACCTCCCCAGGCTTCCTCTTTCCCACTCCCTCCCACTTCCCTAGGAAAGCTCCTTCTTCGGGCCTTAGTTTCAATTCATATCCTTCCAGCATCTTTTCCTGATAACCCCTAGATCACAGCCACCCCTCTGATACACATGTTTATCTGTGTTAGTATCTCTTCACTGCTGTTCCCGTTGGACTTGAGTTCATCTGTCCTCGGCTCTGCACTGGCCTGACAGAGCAGTCTTTAATTCATATTTATTAAATGGCTTCCTATCTGCTCCTATTCTAGGCACTTGCCCAGTACTGACTCATTTAGTTCTCACGAGAACCCGACAAGGCAGGTATAACCTCACACCTGCCCCACACAGAAGAAACTGGGGCACAGAGGAGGTCCGCCCCTGGCCCAAGGCCACTCAGCTGGTAGGAGGTGGAGCCCCTCTGGTCTCACAATCATTGCTTCTCACGCCCTGACCCACCGCACCCAATCTGCATGGCGGTTCCTGCCAGTCTCCTGGCTTGCTCCTCCCGGCGCCCTCGCCTATACTGCAGCCAGCTCAGCCGCTGACCTGTGAACTTGCACTGCTGCAGGAAGTCCTGCAGGAAGGGCGAGTCTGAGAAGAGCATCTGCTGGAGCCGCTCGGCACCCACGTGGAAGACGGAGTTGATGAGGAGACGGCCGGAGAGGTCAGGCAGCAGGGCCGCCAGGTCGGCTGGGCAACAGAAAAGGACAGTGCATGGGGCTGCCTGCGTTCCTCCGGTTCCCTCTGGGGGGACCGCTCCTCCCCACTCCCAGGCCTTGTGGGGCGGTCGGGCAACCCCGTCCTCCTGGACCAGAGTGGACACTGACATGCACTGACTCAGCCCCCTCCACCACGGGATGGCTTTAGGGTGGGCGTGTACCCCGAGCCAGACAATCAGAGCCATCACTGTGGGTTCAAGGTCCAATACTTGCAGTCCCAGTGACGACGGGGGTGGACCTGTCATAAGCCCACCCTCAAGCTCATAACTTTGAGCCTTTGGCCATGGTGATTGGTTTAGGGTGTATGTGTATGTGTGTGTGCGCATGCGTGCGTGTGTGCGTGCGTGCATGTGGGCATGCACAAGTGTGTGTGGCTGATGGCCAAGTCATCAGCCACAGTTATGGGACTCAGGGGTGGGTGTGTGTGTGTGAGCATGCCTGTGTGTCCCAGGCCAGCCACAGTGATTGGTTTAGGGTGTGTGTATGTGTGCGTATATGTATGTGACCCAGGCCAGGCCACTAGCCCCAGTGGCCAGCTCTCCATTCAGAGCCAACCCTAGAGCTTGGTGCAATCACTGGGAAAAGCAGGCTTTCTTTCCACCAGGGCAGGGCTGGAGCTCTCTCTGCCCCCACAAGAGTAGAAGCGACCTGAGAATGCAGAGTCGGGCCACGTGCCTCACCTTCCTCCCCCGTGGACGAGGAGGAGTTACTCGTGTCTGTCAACAGTTCCTCACTGGGCAGCAGATCCAAGGGACCCAGGGAGGTGGGCCCGTCAGGTGGGGTGGGCTCTGCGCTCAGGGGTTCAGCCACCGGGGTCACTGTCTGGCTGGAGGAGGCGTCTGGCTGACTGTCTGTCTGCTCCTCCTTGTCCTCCTCTGCCTGCAGAGAAAAGTTTAATCCAAGCTTGTCCCTTGGGTGCCCACGTCCACCAGAAAGCTCCAAGACTGTAGGAAAACCAAAGCTGGGGAAGTCGTGTGTACCGAGGGCTCATAGCTGAGTGGCGAGGGGCACTGGGGCCACCCGGAAGAGGACTCCTCTCAGCCTCTCAGTCAGGCATGTCTTGGATGCCTGGGCCATAAGCTTTCTTATGCCTGTCCTGTCCATGCCTCAGCTGACTGCGCCCCACCCCATCCATCCATCCATCCATCCATTCCTCTCTTGGCTCTTCTGTCTCTCCCCCTTTCCATCTATCTACCTGCCCCACCTCTGTCTCTCTCTTCCCCTACATGTGCTTATTTTCGACGCCCATCTTCCCAGCTCCATCCCATTCCTCCATGCATCCGCTCACCTCCCCCTCCAGCCACCTCTCTGTCTGCTCCCTGCTGGTGCCCTCAATGTGTTAGTCCCTTCCTCTCCCCAGCCCCACATAGCACCCTCCTCTCTCCTCTACCCGCCTGCTCACCCCATGGTCTGCATCACTGCTGGCCCGGGACAGGTTGGGGGTGATGCGGCCACGGCGTGAACCTGCGGGGCTCGGCTCCTGGCTGTGGTCAGCTGCCCCCGAGGGGGTGATGTCGCTCAGGGCGATTACATCGCCCACATCCTTGGGGCTCCTGTGGAGAAAGAGAAGGAGTGAGACCACTGTGATCTTTGAGATCCCACACACCCTCCTGGTCTCCCAAACTTTTTTACACCCACCTCAGTCCACCCAGGATTCCAGGAGCTACAGACACAGTCCCTTGTGTCTCCTCCCAATTCCCCAGAACCAGCCACCAACCATCGACTCACCCTAGGCCATTCAGCTGCAAGGGGCAGACATAGTCCTCGTCCTCGCTGGTAAGACCCAGCTCTGAGCCGTAGCACTGATGCACCAGGTGCCAGAGCTCGCGCGGACTCAGCGTCTGGATGGGCAGGACGTTGGGTTGGCCCCTACCTTGCAGTCAGAGCCCTTCCCTCTGGCCCACACCAGCCTCAGCCTCAGCAGTTCCCCCGGTGTCCACAAGGGGGAGCATGACTTCCCATCGCAGACCTCAACCCACTGGGTAGGAGCCAGGGTACTGGGGAATTCTCCCTTAGGTCCTCACAGTACTTTCACTGCTACAGGTTAAACTTCTCAGTTTTATAGAGGAGGATATGAGGCCCAGAGCGGAGAAGTCGTGCTTGAGGTCAACTCTGAGGTTCAAACCCAGGCAGACTCCGGAGCCAATGCTCCCACCCGCCATGCGGTCCCGCCCCGCAACTATCAATACTTGTCCCAGGCGTCCTCAGAGCTACCCACGGCCAGAGTGGCATGATGAGACTGATGAGATAGTAATATTAATAATAGTAGCAGCAGCAGCAACAGACATTCACTGAATTGTTACCACCTGCCAGGCATTCTTCTAACCCTTCACATGTGCCAACTCAACAAGTCTTCAAAACAATTCTGTCAAGTAGGTGCTAATATTATCATCCTTTTAAGATAATGACAATGAGGCACAAAGGTGCGTGTGTGTGTGCGCTCAGTCGTGTCTCACTCTTTGCCACCCCGTGGATTGTAGCCCGCCAGGCTCCTCCGTCCACGGGATTCTCCTGGCAAGATAACTGGAGTGAACTGCCATTTCCAACTCCAGGGGATCTTCCAGACCCAGGGATCGAACCCATGTCTCTTGCATCTCCTGCACTGGCGAGCAGGTTCTTTGCCACTGGCGCCACCTGGGAAGCCCCACAGAGGTAGGCAACATCATTCATTTAGGAAGTGGTGGTACTGAGGTGATCCCAGAGTGTTGGGGCAGCCCTGGAGCTAACCACTTGGCTGCACTACCTCCCAAGCTGACGTGATGGAGCACTTATTCTGGGGCCAGCTCAGGTGCTACAAGGAAGGAATGGTCCCCATCTGACAGATGGGGTTCAGTGACGTGCCCTCAGTGATGGGGCTGAACTCCATCCCCAGCAGTCTGGCTGCCCTCGCCCTCCCTGAAGACTCTGATGCTGCCCCGTCCCTCCCTCAGGCTCCTCCTCCAGAACTCTTGCCCCCGAGGATGGCCAGAGGACAGGATATGAGTGAGCCCTGCTAGAGGAGTGTGTTTGGGCCTTCTGAGGTGCTGCATGCCAGCAGTAGCAGACCCCAACATCTATCCACCCTCCCTTCCTGCCAGCAGGACCCTGATAAGTCTGGGGTGAAAATCTTCCCCAGCCCCACCAAATTAAAACTGGCTTATACCAACTCATTTTTTTTCATTTGCCATATAATCCATATAACTCTGCAACCAAAGGTGATCATGTGACCAAGTTTTAGCCAAAGAAATGTAAGGAAAAGTCTGCTGAAAGAAACTTTCCCTTCCTGACAAAGGAACGCCCACTTTCCATCCATCCCTTTCTTCCTTCACGTTTGGGACACTTAAGTAAGGGCATGACATTTGGAGCTGTAGCAGCCACATTGCAACCATGAGGCAATAAGCATGTGAACAAAACATTAACAGCAGAAAGATGATGGTGTGAAACAATGGATAAGAGTTTGGGTCCTGAATGACACAGGGAGCCCTCAACCCCACTGCCCCCCAGCCCCTCAGATTGCCTACCTCCAGACCTCTTGTTACATGGGCATCAGTGTGATTAAGTGGACTCCAGAACCTGACTACAATGGGTCAGAACCCCATTCGGCCACAGAAAAGCATATGTGACCATGGGCAAAGCTTTCCCTCTGTGCCTCCTTGGTGAAATAAAGATAACCATATTGCCTCAAAGGGTGGCTGTGATGATTAAGTAAGTTAATTCATGGAAAGCTCAGAACAGTTCCTGGCACCCAGTAGCTCTAAGTGCTAGCTATTATTATTACCATCTGAAGCACTTCAGCATCTGTTTGCTTAAACCATTGTCTGGTTGGGTTTTCTGCTGCTTGCTGCCAAATGCATGCTACATAAACTCATTCAACCATAATGAACATTCCAGGACAGCCCACTCAGAGTTGGCCCATAACAGACTATCAGAATGTGATAAGTAAAGGTCTGAAGTCCCTTACTCAAAATCTTTGGGGTAAAACTTGATTCAAAATTAAGAAATTTGGGGATTTAAGAAACATTATACAGTGCCTATACTGTAATACCCAAAATATCTGTATTATATTAGTATACAGTAAGTGCAGAGTATACCAGAGGTTCTCAAAGTGTGGTCCAATTTCTGGGTGTCCCCTAGACTCTTTTAGGGAATCCATGAGGGAAAAATTATTTCCATTAAGTATGATAAGTGTTAGTAGTATAAGATATTACTTGCCTTTTTCACTTTTATTCTTTCATCAGTGTACAGTTGGGTTTTCCCAGAGACACTGTGATATCATCATTGCTCTGGTGGCTAATCCAAGTGCAGTGGTGTATCTTATGTTTAAAAAGCTCCCAGTTTTGATTTCTAATCCAGTATATATTGACAGATATACTGCACTTAAACAAAAGCTCCTTGGAGTCTATAATTAAAGAGTGCAAAGGGTTCCTGAAACTCTGGTTTGAGGATCACTGGTATATTCTATACTGGATACTATAATTTTATGTTGAATCACAGTTATATTTAAGATTGACCCCAGTCATACATATAAATATTTTGTGGCCCATTAATTGAGATAAATACAGACCTGTGTTATATAAGAAGCACACAGCATGTTTTAAGTTTGAATTAAATCAAACTGAAATTAAATTAAAAATACAGTTCCCCAGTCACACGAGCCAAGAGTTCAACAGGCACGTGCTGTCAGTGGCTGTCATAACAGACAGCACAGCACCAAGTTCTGTCAGACGGTGCTGACAGGGATTGTAAATCTCCATGTTAGCTCAAGTCAGGTTTTGTTGCCAAATGTATCCCAAATCTCCCCATTTTCAGAGCTTTTTTTTCTTTTATTTTGGCCATGCAGCATGTCGGATCTTAGTTCCCTGACCAGGGATTGAACCCACGTTCCCTGCATTAGAAGCTCACAGTCTTAACCACTGGACTGCCAGGGAAGTCCCTTCAGAGCATTTCCGATTCACAGGTGGTTACCAAGGGGCCGTGGGTATGCATTTCTTATGGGCGGGCTATGGCACTGCAGCCCGCGGAGGCCCTCTGGGCAGTGGGGGGTGGCCTATGGAGAAGCTGCAGGTGCGCTGGGAGCTGCTGCCCATGGAGAAGAGCTGGAGGGGTCCCCCAAGTCCCAGCATCCCTGGCTCCATGGTGCCCCCCCACCCCCGCCCGGCCTCTAGCCCCCTTGTCCAGGACTCGCCCAGGCCCACCTTTTCAAGCAGCGCGTTCTGCCAGAGGCGGAAGATGAGGAGGAAGCAGCGATCTCGGGCCCCAAAGGAGGTGAAGAAATGCTGCAGGAGAGAGAGGGGTGTGAGCAGTTGGGGAGACACCAGGCCAGAGGGAGGAGGAAGCTCCACTTGTGCACACGCTATGTTCCCGGTTCCCCAGCCCGATGTATCTATTGTCATCCCTTCGCTCACCCTACAGAATGTCAGTTCTGTGCCCAGCCCATCGGTGGACAACTCTGGAGTCCCACTGATGAACAGATGGCCCCTAGTCCTGCCCCGGGACTCACAGTCCAGGACAGGAGACAGGGTCAGCCCAGAGTGGCTGAGCTGCTTGGGGGAAGTCCAGGGCACATACCCGGTCTCCTGTGCCCACTTAGGAGTGGCCAACAGATCCCCCTTTGGCCAAGAAAACACAAAGAGAAGTCTGCTATGAAGCCTTCCCTCCCTATTTCTTTCTCCTGTCTGGGGCACTGGTGTGAGGCAGCAATCATGATAGATGGAGCATCAGAGAAGGCTTCCTGGCAGAAAAGGCCTCTGAGCTGATAGAATTTTTCTATTAGGACTATCCCTGAGCAGCTGTGTGAGGGGAGACTGCAGGGCCTGAGTCAGGGGCAGGTGCAGGGGTCCGGGCTAGAGATGATGGGAGCCCAGGCTGGGGCGGGAGTAAAGAGAACAGGTATTCCCTGCGAGAAGTTGGGTGCAGAGTGAACAGAGCTCTGGGTGGCGGGGAGGAGAAAGGAGTCAATGAAGATCGGGGACCCAGGGGCCCGTGTTCGCCGCTCCTCTCGCTCACCTTCTCGTTCTCCGTGCAGATCTGGATGGCATTGGGAATCAGCTTGGCCGTCTTTTCCTTCTTCAGACACGTGACTTCCTTCAACTGGATGGAGATCTGAGGATGAAAGGTGGGTCAGAAGGGGCCAGGCCGCTGCCCGCCCCGGGGCCCCTCCTTGTCCCAGGTGAGTCGGCTCACGGTTGTCTCCCAGCGGAAGATGTTGCTGTAGAAGCAGATCCAGTTCTCGGAGAGATAAAGGCGGCCCTGGAGGAGGATCTCGCGCTGCAAGGCACAGGAGTAATCTGAAGCGGCCGAGAGGAGAGACGGGCAGACACCCGAGTCATAGACTGGCCTGGCCGGGCCGGCGCACGCGCGGAGAGTCAGGAGGGCAGAGCTGGGGCTCAGGGTCTGGCTGGGGGTGGTGGGGGGATGACTCACCCACAATGAGGCGTTCTGCTTCAGGGAGTTTGCTGAACAGTTTCCGGAAGTCCTCATTTCGCTGTTTGTACGTGGGGCTCAGCATCTGGGGGACGTTTGGGAGGTAAGAACTGGGACAGATTTTCACACCCCTAAAATTCTGCCCCTCAAAGCTCCCAGCACACCTCAGTCTCAGCCTGGGACAGCATCTTTGAGGCTTCAGTGTCTAGGCCACTTCTGGCTCCCGCTGCCCATAATACAAGAGTAACCATGACGAGAACCATTTACTGATTGCTACAGAAGCCAGGCGCTGTGTCAGGCACCCACCAACATCACTGACTCCCGGAGAGTGTTCCCTTCAGTCTAGTAAGGTGGGCACTGTTTCTCAAGGAGAGAGCAGCCCAGAGAGGTTAAGCAACTCACTCAAGGTCACAGAGCATGTAAGTAGCAGCACGGGATGAGACCACCCCCCCAGGTCTCCTGACCCCAGCACCCACTCTGACAGCAGCAGCCAGGGGCCGCAGTACCTGTCCCCGTCCCTCTCATCCCTCCGGCAAGGCCCCCCGCCCAGATACTTACACTGTACCAGCTTTGCATCTTCTGCAAGAGAAAGGAAAGGAGTCAGAAGGAGCCCCTGAATCCCCGTCCTCCCACCCCGCCCCCACTCCACCTGAGCTGGCACCAACCTTGCTGTTGCGGATGAAGTTCCGGCTGCCCAGGCTCTGGGTGCTGGGTGTCCCAGGCACCCCACCCTTCTCTGAGGAGCTATCCGACCCCTTCTCCACCATGGTGCCCAGCTCCGGCTCAGGCGGGGGTCGGCTTGCGGGCAAGAGCTGTAGGCGCTTACGGAGGGATGGAGAGCTGCTTGGTGTGCTCCGGCCAGAGTGGGGGGTTGTGCTGGGGGGAGAGGAAGAAGGTTCTTATGGGGGGAGGTAGGCTGGGGGGATGGCGATGGGCCTGTTTGGGGGGACCCCCTTCAGCCCACTGACTCTCACCCACCCACCCTGCTCCACCTCCTTGCAGAATGATCCAGAGCAGGCCCCACAGCTCCCTGTCCTTGGTGAGTTCATCTGTAACTCAGGGGTAAGAAACACACGTCGTCTTCTTGTTTGGAGGGTTAATCAAGTCCATACATGTAAAGGGCTTCTAACAGAGCCTGGCATAACGTGAGCTCTCAGTCACGCCTGTTATTTTTCAAACTAACTTATTCATTCATATAATAAATATTTGTTGAACACATACTTTCCACTCAGTTGCCTGAGCTAAAAACCTAAGCTGCTTCTTCTTTCCTACTTTTCATTTTTAATCTGTTAGCAGGTTTCCCCTGCTCCAGCTCTATTTCCTTATTTTTATGTTACCTTCTTCTTCCTGCACCAGGACCCTGGCCCAGCCTCCAGGTTGTCTCCCTCCTGGAGAGAGAGAGGAGCAGCCTCCTCCCCAGTCAGCTCAGGGCCCTCCTGTCTTAAGCTCTCCCCACCGCTGCACTTCACTCCAGGGGAAGGCAAGGTCCTCACCCCATCCCCTGCTCAGGGCTCACTTCTCTAAGACACCTCCCCTCACTTCTCCATGTAAAGCACATTCCTCCTCCCCAGTCCCTTCCCTCTCCACCATCCTCCTCATCACTTCTCCTGCACTTCTGTATTTTCTGGCTTCAAATCCTCCCGAACCAGCAGGTGCCCTTCACAGGGGGAGGGGGTTTCATCCGCAGGTGCACCCCCCTGCCTAGAAGGAGGCCTGGCATACAGCAGGTGCTCTGCAAGCTTCTGCCCTTGAGGACTGAATGAGTGATTCAGTCCACCTACCCCCACCTACCCCACCCCCAACTTGGATTCCACCAAGTGTATGACTTGCCCAACCCTTGGCAGCCTGAGACCACTGCAGATCTCAGTTGGGCCACTTCGCTGTGTGACCTTAGGCAAGTGTCTGAACCTTTCTGGGCCTCGGTTTCTTCTCGAGTATAATAGAGCTAATAGCAACATCCACCTCACAGGGTTGTCTGGAGGAGGACATAGATACATAAAGCCCACCACCTGGAAGGCACCCTGGGAGGCACCTTTATTAAGAACTGTCAGACTGAAATGGAGCACATAGTCTTGCTGTCAACGCAGCCCATTTGTTGCCAAAGTGCCACGCTGACTCCAACAGATACTGCACAAACACCTCAGCCTAACCCAGCTGACCCCAACTCCAGCCATTCACTCTCTGAGTGCAAATCGAGCCCCTGCCCTGCACCAGGCACTGGGGACACAGAAGGGGCAAGACAGATGCACCACCTGCCCGCAGGGACCTGGCCTTCTGACTGGGGAACAGGGATGATCAACAAGAGAACAGGTAAATGAGGATGATGACCTCAGACACTGGTCAGTGCTACCAAGCAGCGCTGCTCACAGGAAGTGCCCAGAGTGGTGAGAAATGCAGAGTCCGGGACCCACTGCAGACCTCCTGAATCAGGAAGTGGGGGTGGGGCCCAGGAGACTCTAATGCAAGTTCCAGTTGGAGGACCCCGGAGATACAGGAGGACTAAGTTGGTGGGGGCGGGGCGGTGTTCAGGGCACACTTGAGCTGAGCCCCAAGGACAAGGATCTGGCAAAAGGCCGGGGAAGGCTGTTTTAGGGGCAGGAACAGTGAGTTCCGGAACAGGACTGAGCTTGGCAAGGCTGAGGAGGAGTGAGGTGGCCAGGGGGTGCTGGGGAAGGAGGATGGGATGCCCCAGGCCCACCCACAGGCTCTGTGGGCCCTGGGCAGAAGTCTGGGCTTCACCCTGAGGGCCCTTGTGGGCTGGGGGAAGGGTTTGAAGGAGGGCTGATCACATTCCCCCCTTGCCTCATCTTCCTGCCTCTCCAGCCTGAAATGATCCCCTGGAGAAGAAAATGGCTATCCACTCCAGTATTCTTGCCTGGAGAATCCCATGGACAGAGGAGCCTGGTCCATGGGGTCGCAAGGAGTCAGACATGACTGAAGTGACTGAGCACAAGACCTCCCCCCCACCCCACGCTCCTGCAGCCGCAGGTCTGGGGAGGGTGCCTGCAGACAGGTCCAGCACACGCAGCCAGGGCACGGCCTGCGCCCCCAGATCTTGCTCTCGGCAGGACAAAGAGGAAGTGCTGACACCCCGCGGCTGCCCCACCAGGCCGGCTGCAGCAGTGGAGGGAGGGGCCCCGCCATGGTGACACGGCTGGAGGGACTTGGAAGAGAATGGGGTCTGTCACTGCAGACACCTCACCTCTGGCCTCCTGGGCCTAAACAGCCCTCTGGGCCAACAGCTCCCTCTGGGCAGAGTGGGGCAGAGGCATTCTGTGCATAGGTGTGCACAAAAGGGAACCTCCACGTGGGTCACACATAGCCAGGGTCCCAGGCAAACCGCAGTTTCCCACAGTTGTAAGATGTCTCCCCCACCCCTCATCCCCACACACCCAGCAGTAATATCACAGGTATACTACAGTCACACACAACGCCCCAGAAGTCACACACACACCTGCATGCATGACAAAGACATGCAGCTGCAGAGCGTGACAGAAACAGAAAAGTCCCAGGTATGTTCACACATACAGCTCCAGGGAGGTTTTGGAGGAGACTTGAAAACTAACATTTCCACAGTGACAGAGAGGGCCATACAGTGAAAGAACAGTCCCAGAGGCCCCCAGCTAACACGTGCACCACCCAGGTAAATTAAGTCCAGGCTCAGCTCATTTCTCATGGCACTCCCCATCAGGAGCGGAAGACAGAGCAAAGACCTGCTCTTACGTGGCACGAGATGCACGTGGCAAATGCTGTTGCCGAGTGACTGAGAGCCCTACACACAAACAGCCGTGAAGGACTCAGGAACAATGCAGCCCCGGAAGGCTGCGGACACACCTCGACAACACAGTGGCCAGGGATTGAATTTGAACTCATGTGTGGGACATGTTCTATACACAGGAGAACTTTGCTCCAGACTGTCAAGGGTACACCCACGGTCTCGAGAGGGAGGGTCCCAGGCTCACTAAAGAGCCACAAGGGGTCTCTCTCTCATATTCTTCACACACCCTTCACACACACAAAGCCCCAGAGAGTCCCAGCTGTCCACATGGAAGCCAGGGGCGTACAACAATGTCACAAGGGACACACAACGAAACTTTCAAACAGACGGAATCAGACATAGATTTAAGGTACAACCCCAGAGGGTTTCAGTCATACTCACCAAGGCTGGGGCCAGACAATAATGTCACACGTGGACACACAGGTGACTTACATTTGCCCACTATGCTAATAGGTACAGAGGTAAATTACAAGCACACACAGAGGTGAAAGGTCACAGCAGCAAACAAAGAGCCCCTGACACAGGCACGCACACACTACAAAGTCACAACTGAACACACAGGCAACTTACAGTGACACTTGGAGCCACAGATGGAATCCGAGATAATAAATTCACACACACAGGCACACGGCCAAAGAGGACCACAGCTGTTGCTGCACACTAGGAGGCTTAGACACATGTACACACACTCCAAAGTCACAACTAGACAGGCGGATGTCTGATGGAATGAGGTACAGTACACACACAACCACAGAAGGTCACAGCCGCGCACACAAAGCCCCAGACACACAAGACGATCCCAGTCAGACTAACACTCGGAGCTTACACCACCACATGAAGCCACACACACACACACACACACACAGAGCCAAAGAGGATCACAGCTGCCTGCACACCAGGAACACAGACACGCACACACACGTCCAAGACATCTACAATGCATAATCTAGAATACTCTGGGCCCGGACAGGGACTAGGTCAATTCCGTGCTCACGACCCCAGAAGATCTGAGGCACGCGGTCGGCCGGCCACGTATAAGACCCCATCCGAGCAACCTCGAGACTCGAGACAGACCAGAACCGAGGGAGGGGGCCCAGACCCGGAGAGGCTGCTCCCGGGCCTGTCCCGGACTCACGGGCCTGGGAGCCCAGTCGGCGGGGGCTCGTCTCCGCCCAGCCTTGACCGCAGCCCCGAAGACCCGGGTCAGCCCCGCGCCCACTCCTCACCTCCCAAGCAGCGGCAAAGGAGGCCCGGAGCGCTCCCAGCAGGCCGCGCTCCTAGCGCGATGAGCCCCGGACCCTCAGCCAAAGCTCGGCCAGGCTGGCGCATCGCGTCCGGGCAGTGCCAAGCAGACCCGGGGGGCTATCCCGCCGTCAGCGCCCCACCCCCGAGTGCACCCTGGCCCCCGAGGCCTCCCTCCTCTCCCCTCCAAGCCGCCTCTCCTTCTTTGGCTGCCGTGCCCCCCACCCCCGCCCCAACCCCGCCGCCCTCTGCCCGCACAAAAGGCCGGGGCCGCGGGACGCCGCCGAGGCGTCAGCTCCGCTTTCCTGCCTCCGCCCCGCGCGTCACGGCCCCGCCCCCCGCCCGCGGGAGGGGGTGAGAGGGGAGGGCTCGGCCCTGGCGGGGAGGGACGGCTGGGCCTTGAGGCAGACTCAGATCCCCGGAGGGAGAAAGGGACCGGAGGGGAGGCGGGAAAGCGGGAGGTGAGAACTAGAGGGAGACCCGCGGGGGGGCTGGGGGGGGTGCTGGTCAGAGGCGAGGGAGGGACGGCGGGGACCCAGCGAGGAATCAATCCGATGCTGGAGGGAGAATTAGAGATGGAGTGACGGGGCGCAGGAGCAGGAGGAGCGAGACAGAGGTCGAGAGGGGGCGGCGGGGTTGTCAGGGCCCGGAGAGAGCAAGAAGAGGGGCGAAGAGAAAGAGAGAGACGGAGGATCTAAGGAGAGAGACAGAGAAATGGACCTGGAAGGGACGGAAAAACACAGAGACAGACTCGATCAGAAACACAACTCCGCCGTGGTAGCCTGGGCACAGAACGGACGCGCTCGTCTGGTACCCAGAGAGGGGTCCTCCGCTCCAGTGAGGCCTCGGGCCGGGCGCGCTACGTACCCCTACTCTCCACCCGGGGCGGAACCTGAGAGAGGGGGCGGGGCTGGGGATGGGAGGGAGATTCGGGGAAACGGAGGTGTTGGGGCAGTGGGGACGCGGGAAACCGCAGCTGGCGGAAAGAGGTGGGGCCCTAGGCCGCCTCCCTTTCTGCATCTCTGAGCTGCGTCTCCGGGGACCCCTTTCGGTGCCAGCCGCAGTCAGCCATGACGTCGAGCAAGTCACCCAGTCCTGGGAACCCCAGGTGGTCAGGGTTTTCCCACAGGACGGGGTTGGGAGCGGGGGAGGTGGGAGTGCTCCCCTTTTATAGAAAGGGAAGCCCCGGCCTCAAAGATGCGAAATGACTTGCCAAGGTCACTGTTGGTGGACGCAATCCTCCACTGATGCCCTAACCCACCTTTATCTCTGCAGCAGCTGCCCGGGACTCTTGGTGTCCTGGACTCCTCCCCCGAGAACACAGATATGTGCGCAGAACCTCACAGCTCCTGGCCACAGGCCCCCCAGCTCAGACTTGCTCCCCACCCCTCTCCAGAACAGGCTGTTCCTACATCTTGAAAAAGCTCCATTCCCACTGCTTTTCCACACTTACACCCCTTCTCTCCTAAAACATCCACTGACTTCCCCATTTTGGTGGGTGTGTACTCAGTCACTCAGTCCTGTCCAATTCTTTGTAACCCTGTGCACTGCAGCCAGACAGGCTCCTCTGTCCATGGGATTCTCCAGGCAAGAATACTGGAATGGGTAGCCATTCCCTTCTCCAGGGGATCTTCCAGACCCAGGGATCGAACCCACGACTCTTGCATCTCCTGCATTGGCAGGTAGAGACCTTACCAATAGCTCTGCCTGGGATGCCCATTGTGGCGGGTGGAATGCCCCAAATTTCAGCCTGTCTTGACCCCTCTCTTTCCCTCTAGTCTCTCAGCAAACCCTGTAGGCTCCGCCTACAAAATCTGTCCAGTTTAAACTCTTCTCCCTCCCTGCCCCAGTCCTGGCCCAGCCTCCATCCTCTCCCTCCTGGACCATCACACAGCCTCCTCCCTGGTCTCCCTGCTCCCTCCCAACCCCGAGAGCCTGCTCCCCACACACAGCCTGAAGTAGCCTGTGAACCCAGGTCAGGTCGAATCCCTCCAGCACAGAGCCTTCTGACTGCACCTCAGTCCAGCTGAAAGCAGAGTTGCCAAAGACTCCACTCTTAACTTCTCTGGCTCCCTTTTATTCACTGCCTCTAGCTTACTCAGCCTCCCTGCTGTTGCTCTGACTCCCCAGTTCCTGTTCCTGCCCCCAGGCCTTTGCATTCCCTTTCCCTCTGTAGGAAAGCTCTGTTCTTGGACGACTGCCTCTCAAGGTCAGATCTCAGGGTCAGATCCCAGTGAGGTCCTCCTCCCACCATCTCCCTCTGTCTCCCTGTTCTCTTTCTTCTGTATTTCTCTTGGCCTGTTTCTTGTTTTGAAAAACTTAAAAATTTTAAATTAGGGAATGTGTATTTCAAACAGGAAAAATACAAGAGTTATCTTGGTCCCCAGCAAGCATATATGATAGGTGTGGACATTTTACCATTTTTGTACATTTTTCTATCCTTTTTCTGCATCAAGATGCATCCACTAACAATATATCCTGTTGTTCAAAATCTTTTAAAAAGATACATAATTAGGCTCCTACTATCATTTTGCAAACTGTTTTTCTCCATCATCTTTATTTCTGAGATTTCTCCACATTAACACACAGAGCCCTATTTCATAAACTTTAACTCTTATCCAAATGTTCATTGTTGGAAAAAAACACAATGGACATTTCTGTTAAAGGCCAATGTAGTTCTTTCCTCCTATAGCCTTCAACCTCCTTGTTCCTGTCTCCTTGTGCCAGAGGTAGTGTTCCTTTGTAGAAGTTTTGTTTAAACATTTTTTTTTTGCCCATGAGCTGCAACAGGAAATACCATTTATATTGGTCTCCAAGTACACAATTAGAAATAGAATCAGCCCTCCATATCTGCAGGTTCCACGTCTATGGATTCAACCAATCAAAGATCAAAAGAATTTTTTTTAAATTCTGGGAGGAATACACTTGAAACTAAGACAACATTGTAAATTAACAACACTTCAGGTTTTAAAAACTGGATAGATAATATTATATTAATTTCAGGTGTATAGCATAATAATTTTTGTATAAAAATTTTCCAGAACAGGAAGGCAATAAATTAGGAGTCTAGGATTTCCCTAGCAATCCAGTTAGGACTCAGCGCTTTCACTGCCAGTACTGGGTTGAGTCCTTAGTTGAGGAAGTGAGATCTCAAAAGCCCTGTGGTTTAGCCAAAAAGAAAAAAAATAAACAGCATATATATAAACTGTATAGCACAAGAAAGTATATTCAACACCTTATGATAAATAACCTGTAGTAGAAAATAATCTGAAAAAGAATAGATATATATATATGTATGTATAATTGAATCACTTTGTTGTACACCTGAAACTAACACAACATTATAAATCAACTGGGCTTCAATTTTAGAAAACTTTTCAGAAAGCAAACTTGAGTTTGCTGGCTGGCAACTGTTTGCATTGTATTTGGAGCTTCCCCGCTGGCTTAGACAAGTAAAGAATCTGCCAACAAAGCAGGAGACGCAAGAGATGCGGGTTCAATCCCCTTTTGGGGGAGATTCCCCTGGAGTAGGAAATGGCAGCCTACTCCAGAATTCTTGCCTGGAAAATTCTGTGGGCAGAGGAGCCTGGCCGGCTACAGGCCACATGGTCGCAAAGAGCTGGACACGACTGAAGCGACTGAGCATAGCACAGCACAGGAACCTGTAAGTAATCTAGAGGTATTCCAAAGTATACAGGAGAGTGTGAGTAGGTAATGTGCAAATACTACACCATTTTATGTAAGAGATTTAAGCATCTGCAGAGTTTATCCACAGGGGTCTTAGAATACTCCCATGGGGATGGAGGGTCTGCTATATATGTAATGTCACAAAATTGGTAGGAAACCACACTTGTTCACTGCCTGCTACATTGTATTATTTTCTTATTCTTTTTATTTTTTTTTTACACTGTGTTATGCTCAGTTCTCTCCTGATTCTATTTGGGGAAAAAAAAGTGTTCACTGCAGTGTACTACATCGGTTTCATGGCCCTTAAATGGGTCATGACCCAAAGTTTGAAAAACACCAGTTGGTGAGTATTTGCCTCTGGTCTTAGTAAGCAGTGCTCAGCTGAGCGCAGCTGATTAACTCAACACATATTCCAGTTTTTATCTGCATATATTTCACAACTTCTAGTCAGGCCCCTGTGGGGCTAAGGCCACATTCTAACTGACCTTCAACCCCCCACCAGGACAGTGCCAGCCACAGGAAACCCACCCTTGAGCTTGATCCTGAGAGAGAGAACCCCCTTCCCATCCCACCACCTAGGTCTGACCTGTCCTGGGGCGAACTCTCCGGGTCTGGGGTCCTCGGCAGCTGCAGGCACTGCGGGGGTGGAGTGCAAGGGGGTGACTCCCCATCGCTGGCTGGTGTTATCTGAATAGTGGGCACCTCCAGGAGCTTCCAGCGCTTAGGGGCCGGGCCCTGGACCCTGCCACCCTGTGCCTCCTGGCTCGGCCCCTTGGCTGGGGGCACCTGTGAGTCCTGGGCACAGACATCCTGGGTCAGCAGGGGTGCACAAGGCAGCAAGGGCAGGAACTCAGCCATGGGGATGGCTCTGCCACCCAGCCGGGGGTCTTGGACCGTGGTGTGGCCTCTGGGGGAGAAAGAAGAGGTGAAGGGGTGGAGGGGAGAGTTCCCATGCAAACCCTGCCTCTCACCATCTCCCGCTGCCCAGTGGGAGGAGGGGTCAGCTGAGCTTCAGAGCATAGCTTGGGGGTCAGAGAGATCTGGGTGGGATTCCTGTCTCGGTCAACACCCTCCTTTGTGACCCAGGTTCCTCTTCTGGAAGCTGGAGAGCCTGATGGCGACCTGCGAGGGTGGCCGGGCAGTGTCGGGGAGCTCTGACAGGTGGAGGGCTAGCCCAGGGTCTGGCACACGGCAAGTGTACCCCTGTTCTGGGGTTTCTCTTCCTGCCCCTGGACTGGGGTTTATTTTTTCTAGCGTGAATGAGCTACAGTCAAGCCCTGGGTTCTCTATACACCCCCACCCCAGCTCCCTTCCCGATACACAGGGCCAGGAAGCAGCCAGGTCTGAGGGGGCCCCAGGGGCCTGAGTAACGACTGATTAAGGCCAGGATTTCCCTTCCCTCTTTGCTCAGCAATTGCCCCTCCCGAGACAAACAAAGGGAGGGAACGAAGCCAGTTCCTGCCGTTATGACTGTGTTACTGGAGGCCGCATGGGTCTGGGGAGATGAGATTAGTGTCTGTCTGTCCTCACCGCGGGTCACGGTGAGGGCTTCTTGGCACCCCGCTGCTGGGGGAGAGACAGGGAAGGTTGACCCGTGGGACCCAGAGAGGGTTTCCCTTGGTTTGGGAAGAACCTGACCCTTACAGGCCAGGCTGGGACCCCAGAGTCGTTCCCAGACACCCCAATGCCCCTACCTTATGGCTTCCTCCTCCTTCCGTCCTCACAGGGTGTGCTCCGGCTCCTAGGGTTAGGGCAGGTGACCAGGCCCTATTCTTTCCCCCAGGGAGTCCTGGCTGGGCCAGGGAGTCACGACCTTGTCAGGCGGAATAGAGTGTCTGGCTGGAGTCAGGTTCCCCTCTGGCCAACTGTTCCTGGGAGAAAGGGCTGAGTGGGGGTGGGGGTGTTCTGACCTCAGAGGAGGCCCTTCCCGCTTGACTCTGCCCTGGGGCTCTGCGGCTCCATTTTTCCTGTTGGCTGCAGCCTGTCACAGTGTAGCTGCAGCTTCAGTCCCCATTTCTCCCCCAGCACTGCTCCTCCAAGCCCAGACGTCACCCCCAGGCGGCCAGGTCTGACACTCTTCCCCATCCTCATCCTCCTGTCCTGTTCTTAGCACTGGGAACCTTCGAGACTCCAATTCCTTCCTTCTGGTGGGTTCTCTTGGCACTCCAGGGCACCCTACTGACAGCTCCTTCTCACTCTGTCTTCTCCACCTGATTGGTAAAAGCTGGCATTCCCCACAGCTTAGCTCTTTTTCAATTTCGTTACATGATAATTGACACACGCTAAAGGCTGTCTGGAGCCTAGTTGTGAGGTAGCAAGTTTAACAGTAAAATGAACCTCTCAGACCCAATTTGAGAGCCAGCATGTCACTGTGAGTCCCACCCTGCCTCCCTTCCAGAAGTCTCCATCACCCCTCATTTATCAGTTATCATTCCCTCTTTTAATAATTTATTTTTAAAATCAGATCAGCATGCATTCCTATTATAATTTTAGCTTTACTTGATTTTGAGCTTTATAAAATGGAACATTCTGTGTTCAGTCACCAAATCGTGTCCGACTCTTCTCGACCCCATGGACTGCAGCACGCCAGGCTTCCCTGTCCCTCACCATCTCCTGGAACTTGCTCAAGTTCAGGTCCATTGAATTGGTGATGCTATCCAACCATCTGCGTGTCATCTTCTATGACTAGCTTTTCTCCCTCAGCTTTATTTCTAAGATTCCTCCCAGGGAAGTAGGTAGCTACACTTTATCCATTTTTGCTGCTGCACAAGGGTCCCTTGTGGAATTAACACCACAACATATTTATCCAGTTTTCCTGTCCATAGACCCTGGGTTGTTTCCAGCTCTCTGCTCTGAGGAGCAGCTGAGCTGCCCTGAATGTTCCTGGATCTGCTTCTTGGGTATCTCGTGGGTAACCAGCATCCCTCTGATTGCCTGGCCATCTGTGCCTCACCTGTGCGGCTGTGCCTCTAAATGCTCAGGCTGGTTCTGTGGATCTGCCTGACTCTGAATCTATGAGGTATTGCCTCAGTTGCTTCATCTTTAAATTAAGTCTTGATATCTGATGAAGCAAGTCTTTCTATCTGGTCCTTCTTCTACCAGCGTTGGCTTGTCAGATTCCAAGGGGGAAATTGAAAAATTGAAATTGAAAAATCAACAATGGGAGTTTAATTGTTATGCTCTAACCAACAATTGATATTTTTACAACACTGAGTTTTCCAAAATGTTCACACGGGGTTACACTGAATGTATTTAGGTATGTCTCAATGTCCCTCTCTGAGTGTTTAGGTTTTTTTTTTTAAGTTGTGGCAAAATGCTCATAAAGTTACGGTCAGTCTTTTTTAAGTGTACAGTTCAGTATCATTTTCATTCACATTGTTCTGCAAACACAACTACCATATATTAAGGTGCTTTTGAAGCATAACGTTTCTTGGGACTTCCCTGCGGCCCAGTGGTTCAGACTTCATGCTTCCTCTGTAGAGGGGTGGGTTCAATCCCTGGTCAGGGAACTTAGATCTTACATGCCATGTGGAGTGGCCAAAATAATAATAATGTTTCATGTAAAGACTTAAAGTTCTTTTAAGTTTTTCCTAGATTTTTTCCCTTTGGTATCTTATGTTTGTAAAAAGCTTTCTGTGACAGATATTACACACAAGAAATGGCATAAAATATAAATGACTTAATATATAATTATAAAGGAAACTCCCATGGACCCACCACCCAGGTCAAGAAAAAGCATGTTGTTTCCCCCACCCAACCTCAGCCCTATCAGATGCCACCAAGTGTTTCCCAACCAAATCTCTCTCCCCTCCAAAGATAAATATGCCCCGATTTCTACATTAATTCCTTCCTTTTGTTTTTCTTTGCTGTTTTATTACCTGAGCACATATTCTCCAAAACCTTCATTTAGTTTTGCCTGTTTCTGAACATCATATAAATAGAATAGCACACTTCAAAGTCTTTTGTGTTTGGCTTTTTCATTTTAACATTTTGTTTGCAAATCATCCACTTTAGTGTGTGTGGCTGAAATTTGTTCATTTTTACTATTGTACAGCATTCCACTGATGAAATAAATTGGAGATAAATACTACTATTTACTTATCGATTATGTTGATGGATATTTGAGGGCTTCCCAGTGTGTGTGTGTGTGTGTGTGTGTGTGTGTGTGCGCGCGCGCGCACACACGCTAAGTCACTTCAGTCGTATCCAACTCCTTGAGACCCTGTGGGCAAAGAGCTTAGCTAGCCAGTCTCCTCTGTCCATAGGATTCTCCGAGTAAGAATGGAGTGGGTTGCCATGCCCTCCTCCAGGGGATCTTTACGACCCATGGGTTGAAACTGTGTCTCTGGGCTTCCCAGCTTGGACTGTTAAAAATAGTGCACCTGGGACTTCCCTCGTGGTCCAATGGCTCAGACTCCATGCTCCCCATGCAGGGAGTTCCAGTTCCCTGGTCAGGGAACTAGATCCCACATGCCATAGCTGAGAGTTCCCATGCTGTAACTAAGACCTGGTGCAGCCAAGTAAATAAATATGTATTTTTAAATAGCACTGCTTTGAGTATTCTTTTACATGTGTTTTTGTGTTCCTCTCTGTCACACAGCAAGTATCTATCTATCCACCCATCCCCATCTGTCCATCTATCCATCCATGAGCCCTTCATTGGTTCATTTGTAATCCCTGTGCAAGAACCACACTATCTTAATTATATATGCCTAATTATCATATATATAAACACATACACGACCCCATGGACTGTAGCCCAACAGGCTCCTCCATCTATGGGATTCTCCAGGCAAGAATACTGGAGTGCATTGTCATTTCCTTCTCCAGGGGATCTTCCTGATCCAGGGACTGAACCCAGGTCTCCCGCATTGCAGGCAGATGCTTTAACCTCTGAGCCACCAGGGAAGCCCAAATATATATATATACACATATGTATTTTATATATCTATATATATACATGTGTAGTTTTACAACTAGTCTTGATATCTGGTTGCATAAATCTTCCCACTTTGCTCTTCTCTAAGAGTCTCTTGGCTTTTCATGTTAGAGGCTTTCCTCAAATGTGCATTATCCTTGTTTCATATTTAGAAGTGGGGATCAGCCTGTGATTTAACAACTGAGGGGGCAGAAGATGACCAAAATAAGAAAAGGCTTTGCAGAAAAACATCAAGAATTCTATTTAGGACAACTTGTTGGTGATGCCTATGAAAGCTCCTAATGGGGAAATCTGGCGGGCAGCTGACAAACAGCTCAGGGCTGGCCCGGGGAGTCCCCAGCATGTGATGTGATCACCCACCCCAAGACACCTGGCATCAAAATGTCCCTCCCCTCCCCCGGTGCATCTGGTCCCGGAACTCAGCCTCTCTGCCTGCACAAGATCACTGTCTTCAGAAAACGCTGAGCTTGACCCGGATTCCCTCTTTGGGGCTGAGTAATGTGGGGGACCTGGGCTTTTTCTTTTCTGATCTCTGTTTTTGCAGATAGATCTCTGAGGGAAGTTCATGGCTGGCCTTAGGACTGTGAGGAGAAGGAAACTCATTAGCACCTAATGTCTTTGGAAACACAGGAAGGGCTGGTGTATGGAAGTGAAATCTCAAATAGAGCAGGGCTACCTAAGAACACCCCACATGAGGCTCCCATGTGAAGGTCCCTGTGTTTCCCCATTGGAAAAACACTGTGGGTTGAAAATCACTTGTTTCTTTCTTTAAAAAAAGTGGATTTAAAAAAATATTATTGTTTTGGCTGTGCTGGGTCTCTGTTGCAGTGTGCAAGTTTTCTCTAGTTGCAGTTCCTGGGCTTCTTTTGTTGTAGAGCAGGAGCTCTGGAGAATGCAGGCTTCAGTGAGCAGGCTTAGTTGCTCTGAGGCTTGTGTGTTTCTGACAACATAATAAGCAATAAAGTGATATTTTCGTTCCCCAAATACTTCAGGATTTCCCAACTCTTTCCAATGAACCATGACTTCTGGTTTCTTCTCTGAGTGTATCCACGTGGGTGTGGTTAAGTTTTGACTTCTTACCAAATCTCACCCACTCCCTCTGTATTTGCAGGGTATCTTCCCCCAAGTGCGTCTGATTTTAACAAATTCCTTCCCACACCCTCCACCCTGGAGAGTCCCAAATTATCTGGTCTTCTCCCCTTCAGTTCTTTGTTTGCATATCGAGAGTTCTCCCTTCGGGCTAGACTGAGCTCCATTTCAACAAAACAGATGCTAACAAAACAGGTGCTAACTGGCCGTCTGTGGGGCAGGCTGGACAGCCTCTCCCAGCCGCCCTCTGCCTCGACTTCCCACACTGTGTCCCTGGAGCATCTCTTTCTTTTCCACTTCTGCTTTGCCTGGCCACCATCTCGGGTCTGTGTTGGTGCTGCTGCTGCCAGAGCAAAGACGCCCACTCCAAGACCATTTCCTGCCCTTAAACTTGGGTTCAGCTGGGAGGTAGCTTGGTGGACCTTGAGTTCCCAAGGAATCAGAACCTTGACAAGATAGGAAGGAAGAAGATGGACTTTTTACACTTTGTCAACTACAGCATTAAGGACTGGGTCTCCCAAGGGTTTCTTCCTTCTCCCAACTTCCTGCCTAGCACCTATTTTTCTGTTCTGCCTTCTAATTTTTTTTAGGATAGTTTCTTCCTACTTTTTTGGGATTCTTTTCTGTTTGCTTTTTTTTTTTTTTTTAACTTTTTACTTGTATTGGAGTAAAGACAATTAACAATGTTGAGATAGTTTTAGGTGGACTGAATATAGACTCACCCATACATATACATATGTCCATTCTCCCCTTCTGCCTTCTAATCTTATATACTTTATTCCCACCCTGAAA